GCCGGCAGCAGTTAGTGGATGGATGGATGCAGGATGCAGGATGCAGGCCAGATCCAAGCCAAGGATGCAACTTTCAGCTGCTAAACGAAAATATAAAACACTTAACTCGACTGCAGGGGCGACAGTCCCTCCATCTGTCCCTCGGAACCAGCCAGATCGTCCTTTATGCGACACATTCAACTGCACCCCGGTTCTGGGGACTGGCAACAATTTGATGGCACTGTGCGGAGGAAGTCCTTCCTCGCTTCCTCGCTTCCTAGCTTTCTCCCCCTACCCTTAGCTGTCCCCTTCGGGCTGGGCCAACAAACCCAGACACAGCCATCCCCTGGCTGTAAATTTGGGTCACTTTTTGGCAGCCAACAACAGTGAGCCGGAAGTGCAGAAAATTTGGCCTAAAAATAACATTTATGTGTGTGCAGTTCACTGGCGTAAAGTTTTACGGACTCGATTACGATTACGATTATGGGGGCACTTTAATGAAAAAATTAACCCAATGAGCTTCTTCATCCTTGCCAAGTAAATAGTTGCAAAAGAGAGAATGCTAAGTGATTTTCACTGAGGTGGAAGGGAGTGTTTCCCTTCTGCAATGTATATTTTTGTGCATATCTGAACTTATTCGAGAAAGTAACCAAAATGTTTTTTTTTGTTACATAACAGTGAAGTGGACGGTGAACTAAACTTTGGGAAATATTTGCTTTATGAAATAATTTAGAACTATCTGTACAAGTCACTCTAAAAATGTTTCCCTGAAATTTTTTGTTATTAGAACCATTATTTTATTGTATTTCAAAGTGAGTAAAATATGAATTATTGATATTTTAAAATTAAAATTATTTAGTTAATTTTTTTTTTAAGTAGTTAAGAAATTAAGTTTGATATTATACATCTAGCTGTTTCCCAAATCTAAAGGTAATAGTTTATTTATTTAAAACATCGATAGTGTGCAATATCGATCGTTTTTACTTCCGATGGCGGCCATTATCGATATTATCGATAATATCTACAACTGTTTAGCCACAGAAAAAACAGAAAGAATAATTATTCACAAACAAATTCAAATTACAATTTATTAAATATTTTTCAAATACAAACTTATATTTCTAGAGCGATAGTATCTATATTGGCTGAATTGGTCGAACATTTATAGTATCGATACAACTATCGATTGGTTTACCAACAATAGGACATCTAGGATAAATAAAAATATTGTTAAATGTATTTTTAGGGATATCAACGGTAGAAATATTTTAAAATAAAGTATAGAATTGTGTATTTAATTCATTAAAATGTTTTGAAGACCAAGATTGGCAAGATTGGCTGCATTGCCTCACTGTGCCTGCGTCACGGGTTCGGTTTAGTGGGGCATTGAAAGCGCGGCTTACAATGACCGACCACCAACTGAACCAGCGGCGAGGGACGGAGTGAAAGGACTTCACGTGGCTTTAATAAATAACAGCTGAAGTTTAAATTGCCGTTAGCATAAATTATGAGCAGTTAGAGACGTTGCCTGCATTCAGTGAGCGACGCCTTTTTGGCTGCGAAACTTCTTTCAGCAGCTCGTTTCCCTTTCCTTTCCTTTCCTTTCCTTTCCTTTCCTTTCCTTTCGTTTCTCCCTCACTCTCGTCGCTTTTTTGGCAAGCATCCTGTGAATGGAACTGGTGCCACTCTTTATGCATTGGGCTATGCATAAATACATATATATATTTTGGGCCAGCCAAAAAACACAAGATGAAAAGTTAGCGGCGCAAAGTGAGATTTCAATTTGGCTGGCTCGCGTTTTATGGCGAGGAGGAAGCATTGCCGGACTCATAAAGCATTTCCGGCACTCATGAATCGGTTGGGGCCCTCGAGGCTTTTGTCCCCGCTCCCTGGGCTCCCGACTACCCCGATATTGTGATGTTTGGAGCTAAAGTTGTTTGCTTTCTTTTCGCCCGAAAGCCGAAAGCCTTAGAAAATGGAACGCCGTCTGTTGGCTTCCTGCTTCCTGCATCCATTACTTCCACCTTCAAGAATACACTGAAAAAATGAGCTTTATAAAGTTAGTGGGTCGAAACTGCATATCTAACATTGCTAGGAGTTAACCATATATTTTAGGAATTTGTATGTTGGTAAATATAAGTAAAAAACGAGTTGGCCTCATTTATTGAAGATACATCTCTTGTATTTTGCGAATTTGAAAAGCTTTCAAAATCATGAGTGATATCAAACTCCCTGCGATTTCTGTTGCACTCCATATAAAAATTGTCCTCAGTGTAAGAGAAAGCCCTGTCTCCAGCTGCGGAGCTCATTCGCTGCATACTTTCCGTTTGCCTGGTTTTGTCTCACTTTCCCAGCAGCGAGTACACATTACATTTCCCTCGCAATTGTTTGGCAGCGAATAAAAGAAAAACCTAGCCATACTACCCGAATCCATAGCCAAAGCCATAGTCCAAAGTGGGTTTGTTTGTTGCGGGCTCGTGGAAGGAGGAGGACGTGAGTGGGCTCCATAGACTCCATGGACTCCATGGAATGCAACGACCATGACAGGGCACATGGCTCAGCATGGGTTAAGGCATTCGAGTCAAGGGGATGGCTGGCATACTTGTGTGTGCATTCCGCCAAAACATTTGAATGCCAAGTATTCAAAGCAACGAAAACAGGGATGACTGTAGGGATATCAGCCATCTATCTATCATTTAGCGTTTGAAGTCCGACACAATCGAATGAATGGCAAACACTTAATTTAATGAATATTGAACCAGTTATACTATCAACGAGATTTAGTTGAATGACAAAGCGGAGACCTAAATGGATTCCTACACGGATTGAATGCATCTAGTCCGCAATCTACACACATCCTGTATATAACGTCAACAGACTGACAGAACGTAGGATCAAAGCAAAACAAAATTAAAAGTCGGGCTTAACTGGAGATTTTGTTACCCTAATCTAGGAGTACTTGATTGTTTTACAATAAAAGAGGGCGAAAATAGTGAATACGATATGTGTATACTGTTAATATAAATAAAAACCTTAATCTCACCGTTTACTATGGTTGATATTGGCAGGAAGTAAATAAATTCAAAAATCATTTTAATTTTAAGTTGAAGAAGCCTAAAAACGTCCATATAAATTACTCATATGTCAGTTAGAATAAATTTATTGATCAAAAGGCACACAGATATATATATCATACTGACATCTTAGCTCTGTGTGAGCTAAAGTGACAAACAAACGTTCAAATTAATTAACTGCTCTCCAAAACCATTCAATCTTCAAACAAAAATTTTAAATATTTTTGGTAAGAGTATTCAAGGAAATTGTTCTAAAAATTCATGGAATGTTTTTGTTTCGATTGCAATCATCGGCAGAAACAGTGGCACAATAAATATAACAATTGAAACGGCAAATACTCCGAATAGGTATTCGTATATATGCACGAAATGAAAATCTCTAATAAAAAAGGACATTTCCATTACTGCGATTAAATCGTCAGGACAAAGCATACATACATACACAGAGACAGTCGAATGTAGATAGGGAATGGCAGCCGATAGAGCTGAAAAGCAATTCTGCTGCGGTCTTTGGCGAGTGGTAAGGATGAGTCCTGTGATAGGATTTCAGTTGCCTGCCATTATTTCAATTGTTGTTGTTTATATTCATTGGATTCTTTACCTCTCTCCCCTCTTCATCTTTCTCTTTCCCGTGCAGCGTTATTATGAGCGTTTTATGTCCATTGCACAATCGGCCTGAAGGTTGACCATAAAATATTTTCTACCACCCATCCGATGATATCAATTTTTACGGCTGACAATATTAGCCCGACATAATTATCAATCTTTATGGGCCGAACAGAAACGGTCAGCAATAAAATGCCAAACGTAGATCGCCGATAACGAATGTCCTCGGCCGCAGAAAGGATGTCCTGCTGGCGCAGAAAATGCTGTAACACATGTGTGCACGTGCTGATAAAATTAGCAATTCGAAACCATTTGTGGTGGTGTGGGTGGTGGTGTGGGTTGTGTGGTTTTCGGGGGCGGAAGGAAACCCGATATTAGCAGCAGATATATTCATGTCGACTGCTGTCGGGCGTAAAGTCATAGCGCAGCCAACGGGGCGGATGAGTGTCGCTTGCACCCAGGCGGTCCTCTGGCTGTTTGCGGTCTATCTACCTCCTACCTCCTGGCTAGGAGCACTCCCCCTTTTTCTCCTGTCTCCCTACTCCCTTCTCCTTTCCCAAATCCCCCTTCCCTTTCCGCCCACACAGCGCGTGTCGAAGCATCTCAGTCGGAAAATGGGTGACAATTCATGACAGGGCATGAGCAGTGCGCGTAATTTGCATATACAGTCGCTCGTTCGTTCGTTTCGATGGTCGAATGCCTGGTTGCCCAGCTAGCCCGCTCTTTACATTTTATTTTTTTCACAAAATTCCCTGCCGCATCGGCCTGGCAGTTTTTGGCATTGACTTGACTGCACTTAGCCCGATGGCATTACAAAATGTTCCTCTCACTCTGGTCGCATATTGTAATAAAAATCCCCTTTTCTATGCATTATCCACACCGAAAACGGCCGAAAAAAGGGCTGCTAAATGGAAACCTCTCACCCACATTTTAAATGCAAATGACACCCCATGCGGGGTAGATAGTAAACGGGATGAAGGGAGTTGGAGGTGTCTTTGTGGCTTGGCAGCCTGCAGATTAAAAGCGAAATTAGTTTTTCCTCTAATAAGCCAATCCAGCCGAAGCAAATGCCGTTAGTGACAGGATGAATTTCAATTTGGTCGAAATATTAGCTTATTATTCTAGTTTTCTTTTGCGAAAACCACAGGTTTTTCTATGTGTGCTAATAGCAACGGGCTTAATGATAGATGATGCTATGAACGCACTAGGCATCCCAGAAAATCAGCTTACCACCTTAAAACTACTCAGCAACAAGCTTCTTTCTGAATATACTGTTTTGTGTATGCCATTAATTAACAAAATAATGCCCTTAGCTAATATCGGTTAAGAAACTACATAAGCTGCCGTATTTTTTACTGTATATTTGTTCAAGAATTTAAGATTTAAGTCTTTGTATAACCTTTATAACTATCTATAGTTCACGGACAATTTAGTGGTTTAGTAGAATCGTTCCATTGGTCATCCCCTGTTGTCTCGCTTGTTCTTCTTGCGCATGTGCTTCTTCCACTTTCTCCAGTATTTCTGGATCTTGGAGGCGGCGCGGTTCATGGCGAAGACCAGGACGCGGTGCTGCCGTCGTCTGGCCTCCTCCTCCTCGCGTTTCACCACGATCTGCTTGTAGACCCGCTCGACCTTGCGGAACCCAACCATAAACTCGTCGAGGGACTTCTTGGCCTTTTTGTGCTCGTCGGTGAGCTGCATGTTCTCGATCATCTTCTCACCAATGCTGTGATCGTACTTCTTGATGATGGCCTGCAGTTGCAGGATCAGCTTATTCCTGGGGGATTCGGGGGGCCTATAAACAGGGTATGGGATCAGGGTCTATGACTCACTTTTCCTCTCGATAGACCTTTTCCTGCTTCAAATAGGCTTTGGTCGATGTCTCGTAGTTGTTACGCATCTTCTGCAGTTGGTCCTCCAAATCGGCCTGCCGCTCCAGACCCGATTTTTTGCTGGCGCGGATCAAGCGAGTGCATCGATCGCTTATATAGTAAGTTATTAAGCTTTTAGTGAAGAAAAACTCGAGGACTGCGATCTTCAATCACTCACATTTCCCTTCGGATGCGTTCGTCCTTCTCGTTCTTCTTCTTCAGCAGCAGGTCCTCGTAGTTCCGCAAGTAGGCCTCCTTAGCCTCCATGCGCTCCTTGATGGCCAACTTCTGGGCGTGGATCTTGTGGCGCAGCTCGTCCACCTGCCCCTTGACCACCTCGTTCTGCTTGTACATGGCATGGAGCTGGCGCTCCTGGGCGATGGCGTCAGCCGATGTCCGGTACAAGCGGTCCTTGGCCAGGTCGTAGAGCATCTGGAAGGCCGTCAGCAGCTTCTTCTCGTCCGGGCTCATGTGGTTGTAGAAGCCCGGAAAGAGGTGCACCATTTTGTGGTTGCGCTGGAAGAAGTCGATGATCTGGATGATTCCATGGTCCATTAGCGGCGGTCGCTTTTCCCTCAAAATAAATTCCCGCCGACGAATAAACGATTCCACCAGGTGCACTGCCGTCTCGAACTTGGTGCCATTCAAGATCTGTGCCATGAGCTTGGGATGTTGCAGCAATTTGGGCAAGATTAGCGAGATCTTGACCCGTTCGATGGCCTCGGCTACGACATTCAACACACAGCCGATTTGCACTAATCGCACGTTGGCAAACTCTAACCGGGAATAGAATTTGGGCTAATCATTTAAAAATTGTGATTCGATCGCGAGAATCGTGGAATTGAGATTTTTCCATTTTCGTAAAATGTTTGTTATCTTTTTGTCCCTACAACCAATGAATAACAAGCTTTAGTGGAGAAAAATCAAAATTGTCAAACGGATAAGGAATGGTTAATTAAACATTTTATTTTGATTTATTGTTTTGACTTTCGGCAATACTAAATTCAGGAGAATTGTATTTTTTAATTTCAAATATAAATACACTTTTGAAACACAAAATAAAAATAGTTTGTGCATATAAATATTACATAACATATTTTGGATCTTAATATATATAAATGAAAGATAACTGTCCCTGATCACTTCACTTAATTTAAACGTGGAATTTAAAATTAAGAACTTGCCAAAGTCGAATTTTAGAAGTGTTTGAGAAAAAAGAATTTCAGAAGTCCAGTTAACTAATTTAGCCAAATATCTCACCATGCTGGGCCAGTTTGATGTCAATCTTCTTTTCGGTCGGCATCGACTTGCCACGCATCATCTCTGTCATACTCATCTTGGTGTTTGTGGGTGCCTAACTAGTCTCCTGCGAGTTTTTCATTTATTATTTCTTTTTATACTGCACCAGCACCATTCGCTATGAGGTGCTTATTTTTTTATTTGTTTTTGTCTTTTACTTTTTTTTTTGACAGCAGTGTTTGTGTGTTTCGGTGGGGATATGTTCCTGCTCTGAGCTAAAATTCCGAGCTGTAGTTTGATGGAAGTTAGCCCTGCTACCCTGATCCCCTGAACGATGTCCCCAATTTATGTACACATCTATCTGCGCCACTGGGTTCGCTCCGCTGAGCTGCAAACTTGCTCAAGTGGAAGCTCTTGTTTGGACTCGAATCAAGTTGACATTACATGGCGTGTTTCAGTCGCGGACTGCGGACAAACTTTCTAAACAAATGCCCCGGAATTTGTGACTACAAATGCAGCGCTTCCTGCTCGATGTTGGATGCACTTTTTTTCGGAACCCTTTTGTGCACTCCTCTGTTCCGCTGTGTTGCCAAAAATTTATGGCTAACAATATTTTTCCCTGGCAAAAGACGCACACAGCTCACAGCTCACAGCAAATGGCAAACAACTTGCTGCGAGTCACAGGCGAGGCACCTAACTAAACCAATGCTTTAAGGGGGTTTTCATGGCAGATTTCGGGGGAGTTTTCAGGGGCGTGGAACTGTTCCGGGGGCGTAATTTGTATGCACAATCCGAACAGCCTCAGCGTCCGCCTGTGAATCCGAAACGAGCAGAATGCACCAGTGAACTCTTTCGGTTTTATCTTTTTCGCCAAGTTGTTTGTGTTTTGAATACCCTATTCTTGGTCGGCTAATTCTAAAACAACAACGATGAAAGATCTAAGAGAAAGTAAAGAAACGAAAGCTATTTCAAAATTTAATTGAATTTCATATTTCTTAAGAAGATCAGCTTGAGTCTCCAACAAGCCACCTTTTTAGCTATAAGAAAATGCTAACAGCTAACAAACTTAACCAAATAGTAAAGTTAATAAATGTAAGCGATTTATCCTCGTCCAATGTTTATTTATTTTTCAGGACCAGCGCCATTTCAACTGAAAATTCAAATGTATGAGCAAATTGCTATGCTACGTTTATAAGATGATAGTGTATAAATATTTCGTTGCTGGATGGACTAAGCAGTTACCATTTTTTCTGTCGCATTTTTTGTATAGAGTTTGTTGTTGCTGTGCGCTTATTGCATTTGTCTCGATTCGTTTGGCTCGCACAAAAACAAATTGCCGGAAGTATGCAAATGTATGATGCAGCTTATCAGATATTGTTTGAGAGCCTGCACTCGTTGTCTGTTTGGTGGGGTATGGGGTAAGGGGGAGTGGGGGTGGCGGTGGTTGGGCGTTTTGGGGCGTGGCATTTGGCACGGTGCTCATTTGCCTTGCAAAAGGCGCGCCTCCAGTGAGCAAACAGCAAACAAGAACCAAGCGACAGCAAATAACTTTCAGAGACACTTGCACCCGAACACAAATACAAAATAAAAAAAACAGAAAAGTATCGGGAATTGAACTGTCAGCTGCAGCTGCACGTTGGGGAAATCGAAATTGAATTACATTTGCACTTTATGCTAAAGATCCATCAGATGACAGCAGCAGCAAATGCAGGGAGATAAAAACTAATTAAAATGTTACAAAACAATTTAGAGTTGGAGAAAAGAATCTACATTTAGGAATGAAGTTTAACTAAGCTGATGACCTGAAATTCAGACAAGAAATATAGTATATTTATGTACAATAAAACCAGGTATTTTAAAATCACTTTATTTATTTTATTTTATTACGGACTTAATGGAAATATATATTTTTATTGTCCCTTATTTAAGCAGTAAACAATTCATGAAATGTCATTGTTGAAAAGTCATCAAATGTACAAAAGTAACGCAGGTAACCGAACAGCCTTGACAACAATTCCACAAGGTTTATTTAAACAAATGGAATGTGAACGCTCTTTATAATACAGGGTTTTTTGTATTTTTACACTGAAGGTTACGTTTTAGTCGTCATAAAAGCATTGCATTTTGTGTGCATAAGTACTTTAATATAACTCCCAAAGTTCGACAGTTATGCGATTTTGCTTCAGGTGTTGGTTTTTCGGCGATCCCCTTGTCTTGGATCAAATTAAAACATTGGCGAGCAGCACTCGATGTCATTTATCAACTCCGAACTTTCTGACATTTATGCTCGGTGACAACCAAGTCCAGGGCGACAATCACTGGATTCTCTAGCAGTGGGCCCGACAAAGTTTCTTTCGACAGTTGACACATTTTCCTTCGACTCTCCTACATGACTACTTGATATTTCCATATTTCTATGGACACACTGGGCTGGCCCCGAAAAAACACCCCCTATTGATAAATGATGCTGATGGATTTTTATTGCCCCGGTCTTCTTGGACATGGACAAGGGAAGTTAGCTGGACCTGAGTTTTTCAAGCGGGAAGGGGGCCACATGTATGACACGCTGTTGGCCGGCTGCTTATCAACGGTTTAGCGCGGCTTGTGTGCCTGACAGGTGAATAAAAGCAGCTGTCAACACTTTTTTATCCCTGTCTTCGAGAGGTGTGTGAGTGTGTGTGTGTGTGTGTGTGGGCGAACTGGGTCCATTAATATTGATATAAAATATATTGATTTTGCGTTTTGTTTTTTTGCTGCCAAGGAGCATGTGAGCCGAAAGATTAATGCTTCTACAAGGATGCCAAGCAACTATTTGAATAAGCTTCTATGGTGAAATCTCGAAGGCCTCAAATCCTTGAGACCGACAATTAGCTTTTGGCTTTTCTGGCCAAGTAGAGCACTTGCCAATGATTTGGCCTGCTGGTAAGCATATTAAACATAAATTGCCTGGCCATCCATCAAAATGCTCAAAGGAAAAGCCAGATGCCGAGTGGCAGGGAGGTTGAAAGTCACAAGGCAAATTGAGAAACAACTTCAGTGCCAATTGGCCAAATCCGAATGCATTTTATGGCCACAAAATCAATTCAATGGCTCAACAAGATGCTCTGTTTAAGTCGGCAGTCGGACGGTGGGCGTGGCTGCTGCACTTCTCGCCTTCCGCCGGTTGAAAATTTTATGTTTAATTTATTGATACACTCAGCTGGCAATAAAAATTGATGGCAAAAACACATTTACACACACCGGATGAGGGCGAGGCGAAAAGTGGGGGAAGGATGCGGGGCGTTGGCCATAATTTTTCATTTCATTGTTTTGTTTCGCAACAGTCGTGGGAAAATACGCGGCGGATAAGCCCGAAACAAAAAGCTGGCAAAGTAGCAAGCAGCAAGCAGCAAAAAAAGGAGAGCGAAAGAAAATCGAGGGAAAATTCTTTTCTATGCGAGAAATTCATGAAAATGCCTGACGGAACTGGAAGCGAATTTTTGTGATATTTATTTGCTGGGCCAGGAAAAAAAGGAAAGGAAAAGAAACCGAGTTGCGAGAACTGCAATAAAACCAAGCAGACAAAACAGACGGAAATGAAAGCAAAGAAATAATGTCCCCGGCTCCAGTTTCAGTTCCAGTTTCAGATCCAAGCAAAAGAAAGCAAAAAGAAAGTGAAAAGTTACCCAAAAAAAAAAGAAGAAACTAAGCCGAAAACGAAAGCAAAAACCAAGCGCTGTTGATTTTATTTTTATTGCCATAATTTATATATGCACAGATCCGACGCTGCGCATACGCAACGCAATTCCTAGCAGCTGCATATTATGCCGAGGCCTTGATAGCACTTAAGTTGCGGCAATGGATTTATTTTACTTTAAAGCAAATCGAGAGAGCGGACAGCTGCAAATCATTTTTAAATGCTTACAAATTTCCAACACAATTTACAACTTAAATAAATTTACTGCAGGCAAGAGGGAAACACAGAAAAAGTTATGAAAAATGGGGAGCAGCAGAAAGCAAAGCACAGCAAATGGAAAATAAATCAATCTTACACTCAAAGTTGGCCAGTGGGTTGGTGAGCGACCACATCCCCCGAGAGACCGGAAAATTCAATAAGGTTTAAGAATGTTGAAAATGTTATAGCATACCTGCGGGCAACTGCAGATGCAGCTGTGTATGTGTATGGAGGAAATTCTAATATTTGTATAGTTGGCCAAGTTGTACATGGAATTTCGCAGAACCCTCAATGGCTTCACTAGCTTACCTCCCCATCACCCGTTTTCCCGCACGCCCTCCAGTCATTTTTTCCCACTTTTTCCTCTGCCTGCACCGTTGCCTGATCATTTACAATTCAACATTTTGCAGCACCAGTGAATTATGCTTTTCATGTCGGCCTTTTCCCCACTTTTCGCGCAGCTCGTTTTCCAACGCTTTCCGGGCACTCGCGGTCTATGGCCCATTTGTGTGTTTTTAGGCTTTGGGCGACGGCAGTAAGTACGCTAATAGCTTCTTATGACAGCAATGAGGCAAAATCATGCGAAAATTCAATTGCACCACTTTTCCGGCTCCGCAAAGTAAGAAGAAGTTGGTTTGGGTTAAGTAAAGTACATCCTACGACTACTACTACTAGAAGCAGTCCGCTTTTTTAATTGGCTCAGAGCTTTTTAAGATTAAGCATATCCTAGTGAATATAATAAAATTCGTTTAACTTCAAACATTTAAAAACAAAGGAATTTCAGCTTAAACTTGAAAGCCGACTTAAGCTGCAAATAAATCAAACCAGGGTTTATTTAGGATAAAATGACGTTTTTAACGTTAGCTTTTGGCAAATGTTGTGAGATAAACGCAATACTAATTGATATTACTAATTGATTTGAAAATCTCTTATTGTAGCCGAATAAAATTGGCTTTGTTATAAAATAAATTCAGCTTTAAATACTTCGTTTGGCGTAAAAACCAATCAGCAGAGAATTCAATTTATATGAAAATTCCTGCATTTTTTGCAGAGTCTCAGTTGTCTTTCATTAAAATATGCTGCATGGCCCATCGGTGACTGTCAAAAGCCAGGGTTCTGACTGCTTTTCCCGTCACATCGAGTGCGATATTGGGAGCTGTAAGCTTCAACAGACTGACGCTTCTACTTAATATGAGTTATTTTTTTGTTCTGAGGGAATACCCAGCTAAGTGAGTTGAATTGTTTTGACATTGAGTGGCAAAAAAAGGGTCCGACAATTGAAACAAATTAAAGGTTGATGGGGTGCGAGTGGACTGAATCCACTGTTGTCGACGTGTTAACAAAACCACTTTA